TATATGTGTATATATACACACATTCACACTCTGATGGATGCATCGGAGAGCACCATGCGGTTAGTATTTTGTCAAAAGATATTTGGCATGCAGACTAGAGGAGTCTAGGATCAAATCACCAACCTAGTTTTTTCCATATCAGTCAATATGAGATTCGTGAGTCAGGATTGGGTTGATGTCCAGTTTAAATATGTTATACATGTACATGAGGATGGCAAAAGTCCACAGAGACGCGCCCAGTGTAACAGCACAATTTTGAATAAATGAACACGACAGACCACATTAGAAGCAAAGTTTATCGTAACGAAGCCCTGGGACTAGAGAGCTCGTTACTCCTCGGTGAGATTTGTTTTTCGTACTAATCACTGTCTGTGCTCTGGTTTGTTTGCAGATAGAGGACATCATTGGCACCGTTCGAGATTCCAACCTGAAGCTGACACTGGCCTTTGGGATCGGCATGCATCATGCAGGCCTCCATGAGAGAGACAGAAAGACTGTAGAGGAGCTGTTTGTCAACTGTAAGATTCAGGTATTCCCTCACCCCGCTGCTGGGCTGCTAATCTGGCACAGCTGATGGGTTAGTGTCTCCATAAATATACAGGCTACGGTCCTAGCAGCACTGACAGCAGCCTGTTCATTCATTTGCATAACTGACACTGGAATGACCAATCGAATCTCTTAATGCAACCGGCCCCTCCCCTGCCCTTCCTGTGCACTCATGCAGCTAATAGAACTGCAGTTTAGTGAGGAAGAAGTGGCTGATAAGGACGGACAAACAAAAGCAAAAAGTGCTTTACAGTGTTGTTCACATGGCTCTTTGGCGTTCTCATGTACGCACATGTTTCCAGCTGCACTCTCCTGCTCACACACCACACAGCTCTCTCCTAAGGCAGCTACTGAAATGAGGACGACACGGCCAGCCAGCCTCCCCTGGCACCGCCCCCTGAACCCACTGCTCCACCCTTCCCCTGCAGCTGAGCCACAAACCACACCCTGCCACAGAGGGGTCAGCATCTGCATCTGCTGACCCCACTGTGCATGTGAAGGCAGACAAACTCGAACCTACTGCACCAATGTAGTGTACATAGAAATGCAGCAT